CTTTAGGACAACATGAAATGAAACAACATCTGCATAATAGGGGCTCCAGAGGGAGAAGAAGCTGAGCAAGGAATAGAAAACATGTTTGAAGGAATAATGACTGAAAACTTCCCTGACATGATGGGAAGAAAAAAGTCACAAAGGCCAGGAAGCACAGAGAATCCCAATCAAGATGAAACAAAAAAGACCCACAACAAGACACATCATAATTAACATGGCAAACATTAAAGACAAAGAAAGAATCTTAAAGGCTTTGAAAGAGACAAAAAGTTACCTATAAGGGATCCCCCATTAGACTATCAGCTGATTTCTCAACAGAAACACATCAGGCCAGAAGAGATTGGCATGAATTATACAAAGTAATGAAAAGCAAGGGACTGAATCCAAGATTACTCTATCCAAGGCTATCATTCAAAATTGAAGGTGAAATCAGGAGCTTCACAGAAAAAGAAAAAGGCTAAAGGAATTTATTACCACCAAACCAGCAATGCAATAAATGCTAAAGGACTATTGTAAAAAGAAGAAATAGAAAGGGAGGGAGGAACACAGGCATAAAGAATAAAAATGGCACCCTAACTGACTCAGTGGATAGAGCTGCAGACTGAAGAGTCCCAGATTCGATTCTGGTCAAGAGCACATACTTGGGTTGTGGGCTTGATCCCCAGTGGGGGACAGGCAGCCAATCAATGATTCTCTCTCATCATTGATGTTTCTATCTCTCTCTTCCCCTCCCTTCCTCTCTAAAATCAATAAAAGTATATTAAAAATATTAGCAAATCGGACCCAGCAATATATTAAAAAGATCATACACCATGACCAGGTAGGATTTATTCCAGGGATACAAGGCTGGCACAATATTGACAAATCAATAAATGTGATACAGCACATAAACAGATTGCAAGACAAAAATCACACGATCATATCAATTGATGTAGAAAAAGCATTCAACAAAATCCAACACCCATTTTTGATTAAAAAAAAAAACACACCAAAAAAAACACCTCTCAGCAAAGTGGAAATAGAGGGACATCAGTTGACAAACCCACAGCGAACATCATGCTCAACGGGAAAAAACTAAAACCATTTTTCTTAATAACAGGAACAAAACAGGTGTGCCCACTTTCACCATTCTCATTCAACATAGTACTGGAAGTTCTAACCATAGCAATCAGACAAGAAGAAGAAATAAAAGGCATCCAAATTGGAAAGGAGGAACTAAAACTCTCATTCACAGATGACATGATATTGTACATGGAAAACTGTAAAGGCTCCATCATAAAACTACTAGACTTAATAAATAAATTCTGCAATGTAGCAGGATACGAAATTAACACCCAGAAATCTATGGCATTTTATACCCCAACTAGAGGCCCGGTGCACAAAAATTTGTGCACTGGGGGGGGAGGGGTGGTCCCTCAGGCCGGCCTATGCCCTCTCGCAGTCTGGGACCCCTCGGGAGATAACGACCTGCTGGCTTAGGCCTGCTCCCGGGTGGCAGAGGGCAGGCCCAATCCCTAGGTGCAGCCCCTGGTCGGGCTCAGAGCAGGGCTGATTGGGGAGTTGGGGCGCCGCCCCCTGTCAAGCGCAGAGCAGGGCGGATTGGGAGGTTGCGATGCCACCCTCAGTCACGGTCAGGGTAGGGCTGATTGGGGGGTTGGGGCACCGCCCCCTATCACATTCAAGGCAGGGTCGATGGGGAGGTTGCGGCGCCACCCCCTGTCACGCACAGAGCAGGGCCAATCGGGGTTGGGGAGCTCCCCCCTGTCATGCACAGAGCAGGGCCGATCAGGGGGTTGAGGAGCTCCCCCCTGTCACTCACAGAGTAGGGCTGATAGGGGAGTTAGGGCACCGCCCCCTGTCACACACACAGGGCCGATCAGGGGGTTGGGGCGCTGCCACTGTCACACTCAGGGCAGGGCCGATGGGGAGGTTATGGCTCTACCCTATCACACACAGAGCAGGGCCCGTGTAGGGGGGGGGGTTTGGGGCACAGCTCCCTGTCACACACAGAGCCGCAGGGCAATCAGGGGGTTTGGGCGCTGCCCCCTGTCACGCTGATCCGGTGCCAGGAGGCCTCGGGGCTCCGCTGATCCCGGTGCTGGGAAGCATATTACCCTTTTACTATATAGAATAGAGGCCTGGTGCACTGGTGGGGGCTGGCTGGTTTGCCCTGAAGGGAGTCCTGGATCAGGGTGGGGGTCCCCACTGGGGTGCCTGGCCAGCCTGGATGAGGTGATGATGGCTGTTTGCAGCTGGTCACACACCCCTCAGGGTGGGGGTCCCCACTGGGGTGCCTGGCCAGTCTGGGTGAGGAGCTGAGGGCTGCTTTCAGGCTGGCAGTTGACTGAAGCTCCCAACCGCTCCTTTTTTTCTTTTTCTTTTTTTTATTCTGGGCCAGCTTTAGCTCTGGCTCTAGCTCTGAGGCTTCCGCTGCTGAAAGCAGGTATCTGGTTTGTTTGCGTTCTATAATCGAAACAATGTATAACTCCAGCTCTGAGATCCCGGCTGGCTGAAAGCTGTTTTCTGGGGTTTTGTTTAGCTTCTATATTTGTTACAATGTTTCCTAGAGTTGCAGCTCAGAGGCCGGCAAGTCAGGTGGGGAACGTTGTAGTTCGCCATCACTGGAGCAAGCAAGCCTCCCTGTTCGCTTCAGTGCATGGCTGCCGGCCGCCATCTTGGCTGACAGTTAATTTGCATAAGGATATGCTGATTAGCCAATGGGAAGGGTAGCGGTCGTAGGCTAATTACCATATTTCTCTTTTATTAGTGTAGATAATGAACTCTTAGAAAGAGAAACTAAGCAATCTCATACACCATAGCAACAAAAAAATTAAGATGCCTAGGAATAAACTTAACAAAGGGGGTAAAAGACCCGTACTCAGAAAACTACAGGATGTTGAAAAAAGAGAGAGGAAGACATAAACAAGTGGAAGGATATACCGTGTTCATTAAAATGTCCATACTACCCAAAGCAATCTATAGATTACATGCAATGCCCATTAAAATACCAACGGCATATTTCACAGACCTACAACAAATACTCCTAGGATTTATATGGAGCCAAAAAAGACTGAATCGCCACAGCAATCTTGAGAAAGACCAGATGTCAAGTTATGCTACAAAGCCACTGTACTCAAAATAGCCTAGTACTGGCACAAGAACAGGCATATAGATCAATGGAACCAAACAGAGACCCCAGAAATTGACCCAAGACATTATGTTCAATTAATATTTGACAAAGGAGGTAAGCACGTACAATCGAGGCAAGACAGTCTCTTCAATAAATGGTGTTCGGAAAATTGGACAGATACATGCAAAAAATGAAACTAGATCACAAACTTACACAATACACAATAATAAACTCAAAAGACTTAAATGTAAGACCTGAAACCATAACATCTTAGAAGAAATCATATGCAGCAAAATCTTAGACATTTCTCGTAGCGATATGTTTACCGATACATCTCCTAGGACAATGGAAACTAAGGAGAAAATAAACAAATGGGACTACATCACAATGAAAAGCTTCTGCACAGCAACAGAAACCATCAACAAAATGAAAAGGGAGTCCATTTATGGGAGAAAATATTTGGCAATGATACATCTAATAAGGGGTTAATCTCCAAAATATATAAGGAACTCTTACAACTTAACAAAAGGAAGAAAACAATTCAATTAAAAAATGGGCAAAGTGCCCGGTCAGTGTGGCTCAGAGTTGAGCATCAACCCATGAACCTGGAGGTCCCGGTTTGATTCCCAGCCAGGGCAGATGCCCAAGTTGCAGGCTCAATCCCCAGTGTGGGGCATGCAGGAGGCAGCCAATCAATTATTCTCTCTCATTATTGATGTTTCTATCTCTCTCTCCCGCTCCCTTCATCTCTGAAATCAATAAAAATATATATTTTTAAAAGTGGGCAAAGGACCCAAATAGGCACTTCTTCAAAGTGGACATACAGAAGGCCAACAGACATGAAAAAAATGCTCAAAGTCACCATCTGAGAGATGCAAATCAAAACCACAATGAGGTATCACCTCACATGTGTCAGAATGACTACCATCAGCAAATCAGCAAAAGACAAGTGCTTGGAGAAAAAAGATGGCGGCTGGCAGGACAGAGGTGAGGGAGAGGAAGTGAGTGAGGGGATGAAAGGAGAGTGTGTGGATGTGTGTATTGTGTGTGAGTGAGTGAGGGACAGTTAAATCCAGCAGGAGCAGCAGGAGCTGGCAGACCAGGCTCTCTGGGACAGGGAGAGACTACCACTGCTGCGGGCACTCCCCAGACTGCGGGACTCTGGCACGGAGCCTACTTCATCTTGAAGGGGAGAGCTGTCTCTTCTAGGAACTCATTAGCACCACCACTCAGACAGGCCTTAGACACTGCGGTGACCCGGAAGCCACACTAGCCAAAATCCTGCTGCCCCACCCGCAGACCCATGGACCCTGAGACCTCCACCTCCAAAGGTGCACTGCTCCTGCAGCAGTAAGTGCAACTTCCCTCCTCCCCAGTGGCAGAACTCTGAACACCACATTCGCGCATTCCCAGCTCGCAGGTATCCAGGACACACCACTCCACAGGCAGCTCTTGGATGCCACTGTGAGACCCTGCTGGGTGTGATTTTGAACAGACAAGGGTGCGCTGCCCCACAGAAGAAATTCTGAATTCCATCTTCCTGAATAACTGCCCACAGACAACCCAGCTGTGCAATTTCAGCCGCAGGGCCCCTCAGCGTGCGTCAGAGCTCTGTGCCAGCAAACGCACTGCCACACTCATACATTTCCAATGAGCAGGCACCCAGAGCCCATCTATCCACAGGGCACTCTGGGGAGCTGCTGTGAGCTCCCGCTGGCTGCGACCTTGGACAAACAGGGATGCACTCCACCCGGCAGTAGAAATTTTGAATTCACTCATCCTGGATACCTGCCCACAGAAGCCTCAATTACGCGGCTTTAGTGCCAGGGCCCTTCAGAATGCGTCAGTACACCCTGCTGGCAAACGCACCATGGGTGTCCCTGTGAGTTGCCACTGGGGGCATGTGTATCCAACCATGGAAGCAGCAGCAAAAGCTGAGTCTGCCCACCCCACAACTACAGAACTCTGGACATCACAGTCATGCCTTTCCAGAGCACAGGCCTCCTGAGTCCCATCACCCCAACAGACAGTTCCTGGGTGCCACTGTGAATCCCCGCTAGGCAATTTCAACCAAGGGCACAAGACAGCAAAAATTGGGACACCCCCCTCCACGGCTGCTGCTGACTTCTAGACACCACAGTTGCGCCTTTCCAGCTCATAGGCCTACATCAAGAGAACCCAAATAGCTCAAGTAGGGAGCTATGCTAGACTACCAAGCCCAGGAGACCTGAGAGATCAAACCAGTAGCACCATCCTCAAAAGAACCTGGGTAGCAAAGCAATCGGATCTACAATTAAAATGTTACAGCAAAACATGGGAAGACAAAAAAGCAATCCCCAAAGGAAAGAAAAATAAGAATCACCACAAAGGGAGTTAAATGAAACTGAGGCTAGCAACATATCAGAGAAAGAATTCAGAGTAATGGTTATATGGATGCTCAAATGGCTGGATGACAAATACACACAACTCAATGAGAATTATAAGGAGCTGAATGAGAATGTCACCAACATGAAAAGGAACCAAGAGGAGATGAAGAACGACATAGCTGCAATAAAGAACACAATGGAAGGCTTAAACAGTAGACTACAAGAGGCTGAGGACCACATCAGCGAATTAGAAGACAAGGTAGGAAAAAACACACAAACACAGCAGCAACTGGAAAGAAGATTTAAAAAGCAAGAGGAGAGCCTAAGGGAGCTTTGGGACAACACAAAATGAAACAACATTCGCATAATAGGGGTACCAGAAGGAGAGGAAGAGAAGCAAGGAATAGAAAACCTGTTTGAAGAAATAATGACAGAAAACTTCCCTGATACTGGCAAGAAAAATCTATGCAAGTGCAAGAAGCACATCCAGTGCCAAACAAAATGAACCCCAAAAGACCAACACCAAGACACATCATAATTAAATTGGCAAACACCAACGACAAAGTAAGAATCTTAAAGGCTGCCAGAGAGAAACAGAAAGTTACCTACAAGGGAGCTCCTATTAGAATATCAACTGACTTCTCAACAGAAACACACCAGGCCAGAAGGAGGGAATGAAATGAAATATACAAAGTCATGCAAAGCAAGGGACTGAATCCAAGAATACTATACCCAGCAAGGCTATCATTCAAAATTGAAGGTGGAATCAGGACCTTCACAGACAAAAAAAGGGCTAAGAGAGTTTATTACTACCAAGCCAGCAATGCAAGAAATGCTAAAGGGACTGCTGTAAAAAGAAGAAACAGAAAGGCAAGAAGAAACACAAACATTAAGAATAAAAATGACAACAAACAAGTACTTATCAATAATAACTTTAAACGTTAATGGATTAAATGTACCAATCAAAAGACATAGGATAGCTGAATGGATAAGAAAACATGACTCATATATTTTCTGTCTGCAAGAGACCCAGGGGCTGTAGCAGAAATTGACTCTTGTGTGTAAATACAACTAAAAACAGACTGAGAACCAAAGAGAGCAGAGAGGTCACCCCTGCTTGAAAATAGGGTTGTGGCTTGGGACACAGAGGAGCTGTGAATCGCAGGGAACTTCAATACTGTGCTGACTACCTGCAAAGAAAAAGACGTGCCAAGCAGAACAGAGGAGGAAGTGAACGACCTTCACTACTTCACATTTTTATTTTTTATCTTTTACTTAAGAAACTAATTTGTTTCTCTCACTACATTTTACCTTGTTTTTAATTATATTTTTATTTTTAACTATTAGTATTAATACTATTATTTTACCCTTTTAAAAAAAGTTTTATTTTATGTTATTTTTTTCTTTATTTTATTTTGGGATAGTGTTATACATTCTATTTTGATTTTCCCTTTAGCATTATTTTAATTTATCTCAATTTTTCCTTCATGCCAACACTCTCTTCATCACTTTTACCCTTTTTTTCCCTGTTTCTCTTACCCTGTTCCAGCTATAATTTTTCTCTACCCTTTCTTTTTACTCCCTGTTAAAAATTGATCTTACTCATACATCTAATTTCCTCTCCCCTGCTCCAAACCCATACACACTTCTCTCTTTGCTTTCTTCACTATCCAAATTCCTTTTTTTTTGCCTTTTTCTTTCTTTCTGTATTGTTGTTGTTTGTTTGATTATTGGTTAGGTTTTTTTTTGTTTGTTGGTTGGTTTTGGTTTTGGGTTTTTTGTTTGTTTGTTTTTTTGTTTGTTTGTTTCTCTTTTTCCTCTCCTCGCTTTTTCTCTTCTTCTACTAATAGCTTAGCTAATCCCAATCACCACCTCAGGCTTATCTACTCTTTATCCTCCTTTTCCAATAGTAAACAAATACATAGATAGATTAAAGAAGGAGGAAAATTTTTAAATATATTTTATTGATTTTTTTACAGAGAGGAAGGAAGAGGGATAGAGAGTTAGAAACATCGATGAGAGAGAAACATCAATCAGCTGCCTCCTGCACACCGTCCCCACTGGGGATGTGCCCGCAACCAAGGTACATGCCCTTGACTGGAATCGAACCTGGGACCCTTCAGTCGGCAGGCCGATGCCCCATCCACTGAGCCAAACCAGTTAGGGCAAGAAGGAGGAAAATTATATATATATATTCCTTTTATATATATTTTTTCTTTTTTTGTATTTAGTTTTTTACTTTTCTTCTTATACACCCATTCTCTTTCTACTTTCTCTATACTGAATTGTGGCTATTTCCCCCATTCATTCAATTCCTTGAACTTACCTCCTGGAAACACTATGAACAACTCTATTCCAACAAAATGGACAACCTAGATGAAATGGACATATTCTTAGAAAAATACAAGCTCCCAAAACTCAATCAAGAAGAATCAAAAAACCTGAATAGGCCGATAACTACTGAAGAAATTGAAGCAACGATAAAAAATCTTCCAGTAAACAAAAGCTCTGGTCTGGATGGCTTTACAGGGGAGTTCTACCAAGCACTCAAAGAAGAACTAAAACCAATCCTCCTCAGACTATTCCAAAAAATTCAAGAGGAAGGCACACTTCCAAGCTCTTTCTATGAAGCTAGCATTACCCTAATCCCAAAACCAGATAAAGACACCACAAAAAAGGAGAACTACAGGCCAATATCCTTGATGAACATAGATGCTAAAATTCTCAACAAAATTCTAGCAAATCGAATTTAGCATTACATTAAAAAGATCATACACCCCAACCACGTGGGATTTATTCCAGGGATGCAAGGATGGTACAATACCTGCAAATCAATAAATGTAATATATCACATAAACAAACTGAGAAACAAAAATCACATAATCATATCAATCGATGCAGAAAAAGCATTTGACAAAATCCAACACCCTTTCTTGATAAAAACTCTCAGCAAAGTGGGAATAGAGGGATCATATCTCAACATAATAAAAGCCTTATATAACAAACCTACAGCCAACATTATACAATGGGCAAAAACTAAACTCATTTCCCCTAACAACGGGAGCAAGACAGGGATGCCCACTTTCACCACTCCTGTTCGATACGGTACTGGAAGTGCTAGCCCTAGCGATCAGACAAGAAGAAGAAATAAAAGGCATACAAATTAGAAAAGAAAAAGTAAAACTGTCCTTATTCGCAGATGACATGATACTATACATAGAAAACCCCAAAGACTCCATTAAACAACTACTGGACCTAATAAGTGAATTTGGCTAAGTAGCAGGATAAAAAAGTTAATGCCAAGAAATCTATGGCATTTTTATACACCAATAGTGAACTTACAGAAAGAGAAATTACAAAAACAATCCCATTTACCATTGCACACACAAAAAAATTAAGATACCTAGGAATAAACTTAACTAATGACATAAAAAACCTGTACTCAGAAAACTACAGGACACTGAAAAAAGAGATAGAGGAAGACATGAACAAATGGAAGAATATACCATGTTCATGGATTGGTAGAAACAACATCATTACAATGTCCATACTACCCAAACCAATCTATAAATTCAATGCAATCCTCACTAAAATACCTACAGCACACTTCAAAGGCCTAGAACAAACTCTCCAAAAATTCATCTGGAATAAAAAAAGGACCCCGAATAGCTGCAGCAATCTTGAGAAAGAAGAACAATGTAGGAGGGATCACAATACCAGATATCAAGCTATACTACAAAGCCACTGTTCTCAAAACTGCATGGTACTGGCACCAGAACAGACATATAGACCAGTGGAACAGAACAGAGAACCCAGAAATTGACACAAACCAGTATGCTTAATTAATATTTGACAAAGGAGGCAAGAGCATACAATGGAGATAAGACAGTCTCTTTAATAAATGGTGTTGGGAAAACTGGATAGATACTTGCAAAAAAATGAAACTAGACGACCAACTTACACCATACACAAAAATAAACTGAAAATGGATAAAGGACTTAAACATAAGATGGGAAACCATAAAAATACTAGAGGAATCCAAAGGCACCAAAATCTCAGACGTATGCAGAAGCAATTTCTTCACCGATACCACTCCTAGGGCAATGGAAACTAAAGAGAAAATAAACAAATGGGACTACATCAAAATAAAAAGCTTCTGCACAGCAAAAGAAACCGTCAACAAAACAACAAGAAAGCCCACTGCATGGGAGAACATATTTGCCAATGTTATCTCTGATAAGGGTTTAATCGCTAACATCTACAGGGAACTCATACAACTTAACAAAAGGAAGATAAACAACCCAATCAAAAAAAATGAGCAACGGATCTAAATAGATACTCTTGGAAAGAAGACATAAGGAAGGCCAAGAGACATATGAAAACATGCTCAAAGTCAATAATCATCTGAGAGATGCAAATCAAAATGACAATGAGGTACCATCTCACACCTGTCAGAATGGCTATCATCAACAAATCAACAAATGACACATGCTGGTAAGGATGTGGAGAAAAAGGA